CTTTCCCTAGCAAATTGCAGGTTTCACAGCCCAGGAGCAGCCAGCTGAGGGGACAGGGTTACCAGGCTCTGATCCATGCAGGGACCGGCACTGCAGGCCAGCCGGCCCCAGAGGAGGCGCCACTGCTTGTGCTGGCCCCATATACCCGCCCCCGAATGGGCCTGGTTGCAGCTCCAGGCCCGGTCAGTCCCGGTCCTGGTTGGCCAAGGGCTGGCGTCACCAGCTCCCCAGCGAGCACGGGGTGGGGCCGCTGAGCCCAGCGGTCGTCATTTTCCTGGTTCTCCCAGGGAGGCCGGGTCCTCGCCCGCTTCTGGGCACCTGCTCGTAAGGCCAGCCGCCCGGAGGGGCTGCCGCGGGAGGACCCCGGGAGCTCCGGGGCTGAGCCCCAGTGGCCACTGAGGAGCCGCAGGGACCGAGGCAGCCCCGGAGCGGAGTGAGGGGCCCGGCCTCAGGCCCACCTGTCTCCACCGCCCGTCTGCTGCTGTCAGATTTGTTCAAAAGGAGAAACAGCAGAAACAGTGGGTGGCGGGGGGTGGCGGGGGTGGGGCAGGACAGGGTCCGCGACTTCCGGCTGCCGGCAAGCCGGGCTTGGTGGGCTTTCAGCTCCACGAGGGCCCGAGAAGCCAGTGCTGGGGGTCTTAGGAGGCCAGCAGGAGGAGGGCGGGCTGGAGCCAGCGCCGGCCCCTCGGCTTCAGAGTGACTGCCGGAGCCTGCCTGCGGGGGACCCCGGACACTGCCTATTCTCCTGCCAGGACCCCCAGGCTCTCGGCGGCCCTTCTCCTAGTATGCTGTACCCCCACCCCGGCTGACTCTGACTGACCCTCAGGTCCTTGTCTTAGGTGGGCACTCGGCACTTCCTCCAGGGCAGTCCCTGACCCCCACCCCCTGCCCTGGCCTGACCCCGTGGGTCCTGTCTCCCACATGCGAGTGAGCCTCCAGGACAGCACGGGCCTTCCCCACCCATGGGTCCCCTGCAGCTGCTCCGCAGTCGCACCCCACCCTGGCTCCTGGGGGGCCACTCGGGGATGGGAGGGAGGATCACTCAGGGGACAGTAGTAACACAGCGGTCTGCAGCATGCACCGGCCACTCAGGAGAGTGTCTCATAAGTGGGAACGAGGCTCAGCGTGTGTCCCCACAATAGGGGCAAGGCTGACTCGGACCACGGGGAATCTGCCAGAACCCTCTCCTGCCCATCTGCTGCCCTGGGCCGCCCCTGCAGCGGGTCAAGGCCTTCCCGCAGAGCTGGGGGCCAAAGCGCCCCCCACCTCCCACATCGGGGTGGACCCTCAGACCTTTCAGCTCCCCGCTTGCCCGGGGCTGGGCAGAGCACCACACACCCTGGGGCCTTGGGCAGGCAGGGTCGGCGCCTGGCCCAGACCTGTGACCAATGTGCTCCTCCCACCTCTTCTCCCTACTTCTCCCCGGAGAGGAGCTGAGGCCAGCCCAGCCCCTGGGCAAAGGGCAGCACCCTGGCAGGGACCCTCCTGCCCTGGGCCCAGAACAGCTCTGACCAGAGCTGTCCTGAAGAGCATGGTTATCACAGGGGAGGGCCGTGAGGACCCAAACAATCTGAGATACCGATGTGGGCCTGGCCTGGACCCACCAAAGCAGAGGTGACGCTTCCCCACGGCTGGCACTCAAGGCAGCTTGGGTCTCCCCTGCCAAAGCAGGACTTTTCCAAGGTCAACTGGGAAGTGAGGGCACACCCTGAACTCCTGCTGGTGGGGGGCCCAGGGGAGGCTGCTGGGTCCTTCGCGGGGGGTTTCCGAGTCCCAGTTTCGCACATCAGAAACACCAGCCTTATCTTTAAGTGGAGGGAAGAGGGACGGGCTTGGACGCGTTTCTGGGCCTCTGGGAGCGGGCTCCAGCCCGAGGGGGGTGGGGCTTTCTTCAGCCCCGGGGACAGAGGCTGCCACCACGCAGCAGCGGCGCCACCGGGCCCTCCGCTCGCCCCGACAACACCGCTCAGCCCGGCTTCGGTC